ATCTAACATTTTAGGAAAACACACAGAATAAGTCCTTAACTTTATCTGAGAAAGCCAGAGAAAGTTTCCTGGAGGAGACAGGTCTTGAAGGATAAGAGGATTTAACAAAGCTAGTAAGTGAGAAAGGGAATTCTAGGCAAAGAAAGCAGCTTATGCAAGAGTGTAGCAGCTAGAAGAGTATGGACATTTGGGAACTAAAGTAGTTCAAGGTTCTTTTGAAAAAGTAAGGAATTGGAAGATGAAACCAGATAGGAAAATAGGGGCCAAGTGATGAATGGCTTCTCATTCCAAGCTAAGGCATTTGGACTTTAACCAAAGCAATGGAGACTCACTGCAGGATTTTAAGAGAGGAGCGCCATGATTGTATGTTCACTGTATGAAGCCCACATCCCAGTAATGTGGAAATGCTTTGCTGGAAGGGGATGGAAATGGAAACAGGAAACTAGTTAAAATCCTGCTGGAGTCACTCTGATGGGCTGAAAAGAGCAGAAAAAGAGACTGGGGGGCATCTGAGAGAAAAATTTTTAGAGTACAACCAAAGGGATCTAGTGACCAAATGAATATTAAAGCTGAAGAAGAAGGAAGAATCTGGGATGATTTCCAAAATTCTAGTGCACTTGAGAAAACACAACACTTAACATATCTTTTAAAAAGACAAGAAGCATAGGCTTAAATAGGATTAGACATTCAAGAGATTTTAGGTGGCAGGGAGCAAAGGAAGGTGAATAGAGTATTCAGACAGCAATGTAGGTCTGACACCTATAAAAAGGGAGGGAGAAGGAAGAAGAATTGGATACGAAGAGCCCTAGACTGCAACACAGTTCCAAAAAAGGTTCACCCAAGCTGACGGAGAGTCCTTGGGCCAAAATTGCCTGTTGGAAGAGCCTCATGTCTCAGTAGAACAGACCTACCTTAGTACTCCACAGTCTCCATCACTGGCTGACAGCAACCTGCAGGAAGTGTGGATCTCAGCAGCTGGAGCCCTCAGTCAACCTTGCTCCCCACAGCAGGAGAAGTGAGCAGTACATTTTCATGGCTGCCAGAAAAGGGATCTAGAGACAAAGATCACCTGTGCCAGAACCCTCTGGTGATAAGAGGATTGCTTTATCATATCTGAAGCATCTGTTTCAATAGACATGGAATACTCATTTCTGTGTCTTTATTACCCACTAGATGCAATGCTGTTGAGAATAAGAACTGATCTAGTACAGTGTTTGGTGCAGAGAGAGTGTTAAATAAATGTCTGTGGTATGAATGAACGAACTAGAATCAGGATAATCCAGAATCAAAATGGAGTAAGGAATTTATTTATTCCTGAAATATCACAGCAGCGTCTGACAGGTAGCCAGAACCCATCCCTTTCTCAAAGAGATCTGCCAGCTGAGCAGTAAGGGTGCAAACCTGAGCAACCAAGAAAGCTTCAGCAATCATCCCTCTCTGTGGCTGTGAGTGCCCTATTTGACAACAGACAGATACCCAGGCTAGACGGAACATGTCAAGAAAGTCTACTCATGAACATCTGATAATATATTTTTCAGGGTTAACCTGGAAATATCCCTCTGGTCACTGGGCGAGCTCCACCAGGTTACACGGACAATTTAATTATAGTGTGGGCAACAAAATTCACTCACTCTGCAAACTAAGATATGTCGAGAAAAAATAAGGTTCCTAATTTTGTCTAAAAGTATTAGAGTTTTTCTCCTGAGTCTCCACCTGTGGTTGAGGGAAGAGTTTAATCCAATGGGATAATGCAAAGAATAGCTTCAGAACAATGTTCATCTTCCACAGATTTAAAAATAAAAACCTCTGAGACATCCTCCCCATGCCACGCTTCTCTCCTGCAGCATTCAAGGCTGAGTCTGTGCCTGTACTTTGCTCCTACTGACTGCAAACAGGGAGCTTGCAGCCAGTCCTCAAAGAGGAGGAAAACCAGGACTCTCACCTACCCTACTTGCAATCCCTTTTCTTTCTCCCTCTTCTCCTTTCCACCATCCCCTGGGGGCTGAAAACAGTAGGCTTTCCCTTATATCATGTCCCCTTATACCACCAGCAACAATAAACTTCATGGATTCAGTGTCATAAGAGTAGGACTCCAAGAGGTACATACTTCCAGCTCAACCCTTGATAGGTTACTAATAGCTAATATTTGTTATGCATTTACTATGCTTTAGTTGCTAAAACACTTTCTATACATTTAATCCTCATACCAATCCCATGAAGGATGCCTATTTTATAGCAAAGGAAACTGTGAAGTCCAAGGAGGTTTAGTAACTTGCCAAAGATCATGCATCTAACAAGTGGTGGGGTCAGGATTTGAACCCAAATGTGTCATTCCAGAACTAACATTCTTAGCCACTACATTATACATTTTTCTAGTCCAGCAAAATGTAGAAATACCCGAAAATAATATACAAGCAGCAGCAGCACTTGTTGGAGGTTTATAAGGTCACTTTTGCTTTCTTAAAACAGAATTTCTCACAGATTATGAACAAATAACATTGACTTTCCTTTCCACTTATCCCAAATCAAGAAAATCACAAACACAACTTGCAGATCCTCTAGATAGCCCTGTTCATCAACAGCTGGGGAATATCAGGGATATTGTATTGGTATAAGGTAAAGAGCATTGGTAGGCTCTGAAACTGTTTAAGAAATGTTGGAATGTAATTTTGGGGGGAGTTTGGTTTTGTTTGTTTGTTTTCCATTCATAATCCTCCTGGGACCAAACTATGGTTCAATCTCATTAACTGTGAGGAGCTATGAACTTGGCCTAAGAGGTCAGAGAGTATCAAAAACGAGTAGTTCCACGAGACATGGAACATAGGGGGCCCTGGTGGAAACTTGGAAGGTTTCAGGAGGTACTGTCATAAGTTGCTGTTGATTCCTGTGCTAAAGCCCCATGCAATACACCGAAGAACAGATGCACTTGGCACAGACACGTGGCTTAGGAACAAGCTCCAGCATGTAACTGGACTCCAAATGTGGGGACAATTCTCATTCCCATACTTTGACCCTGGTCACAGTGTGGGAACCAAGCCATGCTCTAGTCCTTTGTGCATGAAACAACTAGATTTAAGAGTCTTAAGGGATTTAGCAACTAAAGTTAATTTATTGAAAGCAAAACAAAACAAACAAAATGGCCGCTTCCAGGGTTTCTCAAAAATGGGAGTGAGGCATTAGGTAGTTCTTCCCCATGGCCTGGGACTTGGTGAGGAGCTGGCAAATTAAGTATTTTCCCTGATAGATTCAGAAGACCATATCCTCTCCAAAATAGCTAAACTTCCCTTCAGTGTGCCTCCAGCAACAAGACTCCTTTCCTCGGCAACCCGCCCACTACTCAGACGCATATCCCCACTTAAGGGAAGTCCACATGTTGATGAAGTTGCATAACAAAGTCTGAGCTTTTCCATGTGTCACCTCCAAATTTCTCTGAAAGCGGAAACAGGACAGGGGTTGGGAATGCCACACCTATGAATCTGATTTCATTTACTCCCAGGGAAGGAAACTCTGCACTCAGCCAATTGGACTACCACAACAGGCTCCCTATCAGGAAATTCTACATTTTCCATCCATATTCCAGGCTCCAGTGGAATGAACAGTAGTGGTAACTTGAGCAAGTTTACTGCAGCACATCTGAATCTGTTAGATCAGGGTAGGATTTCATGGAGCCTCAGGAGAAATTTCTCAGTCAGAGGAGGAGTCCTTCAGAAGTTAGCCAAAGGCACCAGGAAACAAACAACAGCCAAGCCAAAATCTCTAGTAAAATGTTATGTTCAACTAAAAGAGAAGAAAATCCCCACACCCAAAGCAGAAGGCAGAATCAGGAACTCAGGTAAGGGCTAAAGAATCAGAAAGTCAGGGCTAAGTAGGGAAGCTGTCAAAGTGACAGGAAGTAGGAACGAGTGTTCAGAGTGGGTGAGGATGAATCCCAGAGCAGGCTTTAGGGTGAACAAAGCAGACACCAACTGAGACAGCATGGTTATTCCACCGTTAAACTTCCCTGTGCCGAAAAGAAGCAGATACTTTTATTAATTACAGAAGTACTTGTTTCAGAATCCTTCTTTTTTAGTGAATTATGAATGAATATTAAATCATTCTTATAAGTTTCAACAGATACCTTTTTGAAAGAGAATTTTAAGTTATGTCAGGATTAGGAATTCTCCTAGCAGCCCCGAGAGGTATGTATCAATTTGAAAGCAAACAATACAGACCAAAAGACATTTTGAAAATGTCTATAATTTTGAAAATGAATATATAAATCAGAACAACCCGAGAATTCATTTTTGGTTACATATGACAAAATGCCAAGTAATGTGGTGATCTTTCATGCTATGTCAGAATGTAACCCCTTCATAAAATAACAACAATAATAATAATAGCAGTATTGATTATTTACTCCATGTGGGACTCTAAGCAGTTTTCATGTGTTAACTCACTCATTCCTTCCAACAACCTATCGAAAAAATACTATTACTATTCCCATTTTACAAATGAGGAAAGTGAAATAGAGAGAGGTTAAGAAACTTCCCCAAGGTCACCCAGTTTGTAAGGGCAGGGTCAGGATTTGAACACAGGCCGTCTGGTACACATTCTTAGCCCCAAAACTTTATACCTGAGAGCCCCATTAGTGATAGAAATCCAGATTCAGAATTGCCATGTGTCCTAAATATGTTTACAAGTTAGAGATCTCAAGCAACAATATTCTCATTGACTTGTCAGCACTGTTCAGTGACAGGAAGGAAATCAATACCTACATAATTTTATTAAAATAAAAGTGATTATACTTACAAAAACTGCTTATATTTTTTTATAAAACTCTGAAATTTTAAAAGCAGATATGCATCTTGGTTAATTAAACAAACTAAAAAACTGTTGGGATTTTTGCCCAGTCTAAAAAATTAAAAATGACTTGAAAATCGACTTTAGCAAAATGATAAAGGAATGCAAAGGACGACTGAAACTGAAGTAAAATGACTTAACCACCAGACTGGATTAGAACCTAGTATCCAAGGGTCTTGATTTTCATTCCACTGCTTGTCATTACACAGTGGATTTGTGGAAACTGGCCTCTTGTGGGAATTGCTGTTACCACACAATTCACGGTCTGTTACACTAACAGCTTCACCTACTGCATGCTGACACAATACACTGAGCTGAAACGATGGCACACATTGTCTCATGAATCTCTAAAACCCTGTGAGGTCAGTATCACAGTCCGCATTTTTAAAAGGGGGAAGAGAGGTAATTAAAGTAACTCACCTAAGGCCAAAAAGTCTTGGAAAATGGACAGAACCAGAATTCAAATCCAAGTCTGTGGGACTGCAATGCTTTTACTCTTTCCCCTGTAGATCACTACATTGCTATCAGTATAAACTTTAAGTTAAAGTTAATAATCAGATCATTATGTGGAGCTAATAGTTATTAAAATACAACTCCATGTCTATATAGTGAGTGTTTTACCACACTGACACTTTCCAAAGACTATTTCACCCTCTCCAAAACAACCATACAAGGAGAGGCCATGAGAAGTGTCCCCGAGTGGGACAGAATGAAGCAGTAGTGTCTCTCCTACTGATGTGACAGAAGTGGTGCCAAGGGAGGGTAAGGAAGAGCCCTGCAATCCTGAGCCAGGTCTAAGGACTCCTAGGCTCCCTCCTGTGCCCGCAGATGCTCTATGGAAAAACGGGTTCCTTGGATCCAGGCTTCAGATGACCAGGCTCACACCAAAGCATCTCCATGAACATCTGCTTCAGCTTATTATTTCCCAGAATGAGAATATATGAGCGGCCAGCAGGATTTAACATTGTAATTACTTCTCCAGTCATCATAATCACCTCAGTTGCTGGTAGAAATAACTGCATGTCAAAATTGAAAAGAAAAGAAAGTAAAGTAGGAAGAGAAAGAAGAAGGAAAGGATGATTTTGATGGCCCTCTTGTGGGCCTCAGTACTTGGATATCTGGTGCTCGTAAAGTTTTGCTGCATCTGCCGCATATGCCTCCCCAGGGAGAGGATGAGCAGAAAGTAGGAAGCTAGAGATACAATTAAGAGAGGGAAGTCCCACAGAGTCCCAAGAACATGGATCAGCTTATATTCATTTCTTTTCTTTCTAAAGGGTTCAGTCACATTCCCTGTTCCATCAATTCCACTGAGAACAGAATAGATCTTAAATTCATGGATCAGAGAGACGGCACTGCTACATGATAAGAGCAGGGTACTCAACAGCATCCATACAACCAACCTGGAAACTCTCCACATGAGCCAGAGGAACGTAGGATGGGAGAAACTGGAGACTTTCAGGCAGTAGAAGATACTGAGACAGGTGGCAAGCCAAATGCTCAGATGGTTTGTAAATGTGCAGAAAATATCACTAATCTGCATGATTGCAAATTATTCATCGTAGAGTTTGGCAGAGAACACCATCAATCAAGAGAATCCACAGCAGAGGGCTTCCCTGGTGGCGCAGTGGTTGAGAGTCCGCCTGCCAATGCAGGCGACACGGGTTCGTGCCGCAGTCCGGGAAGATCCCACATGCTGCGGAGCAGCTAGGCCCGTGAGCCATGGCCACTGAGCCTGCGCATCCGGAGCCTGTGCTCCGCAACGGGAGAGGCCGCAACAGTGAGAGGCCCGCGTAACACACAAAAAAAAGAGAATCCACAGCAGAACAATCCTGGAGAGACCCCGGTTAGTGATGATGAAGTCAGACAAAGAGGTTCTCTTGTTCTTGAACCAGCTGCTACCATTGACCAACCCATGAAACTATTCCCCGGCATTCCCAGAATGAACTGAGTGGCAGTCAGAACCAAAAACCCGCACTCAGTGAGTCCCAGCATGTCAGCTATTAGGCAGACCTGATCTTTGTTCTTTCTGTGGATGAACACTCTCTTGCTAACTTGAAATCTCTGTTAATCACCTCTACCTGCTGCTTCTCTGTACCTGTCTCTTGTCTCTGCCCAGTTTAGTCTGTTGTGGAGCACAATTTAGCAAACCCTCTCTGCTCTTTCAGGTTAGTCTGTCCTCTTCAGAGACGACATGGATTGTCACATTCCATCTATGATCTAAACTCAGAAGCTCTTAGCCAAAATGCAAATAGAGTAGTGTCCAGTGTCACACAGAGAAAGAAGAGATCTGAGTCACAAAGAAGATGCAGGATTTGGACTCAGTTTCAAAGGCAGAAGGGTTCTGAGCCACCCAGAATGGAAAGGTGTGTCACCAGAAGGGTCGCACAGAATCACTCAGAAGAGTGAGAAGTCTTACTCTTCAGGAGGGAGGACTCAGGGACATATACAAAAGGGCGAAATATCAGAATTCCACTATAAGGCACTATTACAGTCACCCTGGAGGGAGGTTTACATTCATAAAATAGAAAAGGTTCAGTGTCAATGGTCCTGGATTAGAATTAAAAAGTGTGCCTCGGAGGGGGAAGGGTGAGCTTTGACAGGGTGAGAGAGAGTCATGGACATATACACACTAACAAACGTAGTAAGGTAGATAGCTAGGGGGAAGCAGCCGCAAGGCACAGGGATATTAGCTCGGTGCTTTGTGACAGCCTGGAGGGGTGGGATAGGGAGAGTGGGAGGGAGGGAGACGCAAGAGGGAAGACATATGGGAACATATGTATATGTATAACTGATTCACTTTGTTATAAAGCAGAAACTAACACACAATTGTAAAGCAATTATACCCCAATAAAGATGTTTAAAAAAAAAAAAAAAAAAAAGTGTGCCTCTTAGAGTATGCCTTACATGAAGGGGCTACAAGCTCTTCCCTAGTGAGCCATAGCATCAGAAATTCTTAACTACCTGAATATTTAATGATAACAATAATGAAGTATCATATGAGCTACTCAAAGTATGGATTTTTTTCAGAGGGATGACCACTGTATTGATATGTCAGTAATAGTTCAGGCTGACAGAAAACACACACAGACACTCTGTCAACCAAAACACTGCCTTACAGATTTTGACTATAACCAATAGTAATACTTTTTATATTGTCTTACATAATATAAAACATATATATGTATGTATATATATACATGTCACAATCTAAATATTGGATTGGCCAAAAAGTTCGTTCGGGTTTTTCATAAGATGTCATGAAAAATCCAAACGAAATTTTTGGCCAACCCAATATATGTATATAATACTGGAACACAAAGGTTTCACAAAACTATATTTCCCTTTCTACATGTGTGGCATTCTGATATTTTCTATCCTATTCTATTTCTTTCAATGCTGCTTGTACATCACAAACTTGATTTTACAACCTACCAATGAGTTGTTACAAATACTGTTTGAAAACACTGATCTGAAGGGTAAAGAAAGAAATCCATGCCATCAAGATACAAAACAGAGAGTTCAGCAACACTATCTAGTAATAGACTGAGGGATACATGCCAAGGAGCCACTCACCTGAGCTAGTAAACCTCATCAGTCTTGGCATTATGTAGGGTACGCTACGGTTACAGAGCATCGTAGAGACGCTCAGGCATAAACACAGTCCTCCTTAATTACCCTCAGCTTTCTCAGGCTAACTTGACAACCTGGCCCAAATGCTTCCTTAACTCTATGCTACAGAATTAGAATAAGGCCAGTTCCCAGCTGTCCCTGGGAGTCTTGTAACAGAACCTTAGACCAGTTGTAGGGCTGATCCTGCAACCTACCACCGACCCTGTTCAGTTTTCTCAGGGCCTCAGATCTACAGATTCAGATTTTTGTCATTATAACACATTTTACCTCCCCTCATAAGAAGAAATACAGTAATAAGATTCCTCTATCCATGTATTAGAATTATCCATGATGAAAAAGTTTAGAATATACAACATATCAGAATGCATTTCACTTACCATTTCAGTTCAATCATACTTTTTTACTACCCCTATTATTTTTACCCCTTCCAAAATTAGAACTTGTACCTTTCTTAAGTTGCTATTGAGAAATTTAGGGTTAACTGTCATTTTTCTTTCTCATGTTTTGATTTTCTCCCAGGACAGTGTGTTTCCACGTACACCACATTAGCTGGTGACCACAGTTCAATTTCCCAAATGACTTTTGTTGAATATCATCATTATCACTGCTATTATTCCATCAGGTACCAGTGATATAAATTATGAGCCCATAGTTATGACCATTCTCACCTCTTAACATAAATACTAAAACCATCATACTATAACTAATACCACAGCATTAGTAATGGCTGATTCCAAAATGTATGTTGGCCATGGTCAACCAAATAACCACATATACGCCAAGTCCAATTCTACTAAGTCTGCAGTTTGTTGGAAGGATCAATACTAGAGCTGTGATATTGTGGCATCCCAGGCTGCAGACATCTAGAAAAACTACTTAGAGATCAAGAACCTGCTTTCCTTCATTCTTTTTTTTTTTTTAACATCTTTATTGGAGTATAATTGCTTTACAATGGTGTGTTAGTTTCTGCTTTATAACAAAGTGAATCAGCTATACATATACATACATCCCCATATCTCCTCCCTCTTGCGTCTCCCTCCCACCCTCCCTATCCCACCCCTCTAGGTGGTCACAAAGCACGGAGCTGATCTCCCTGTGCTATGTGGCTGCTTTCCACTAGCTATCTATTTTACATTTAGTAGTGTATATATGTCCATGAGTAAAAGACCAAAGTAAGTATATAAGTGAGGGCCTTGGCAGAAAATAATTTGCATAAACTGGGTAATTCTAGAAGAGTTTTAAAAAGGGATTATTTACAAAATGATGGACAGAGTACAGGGAAGCCATAAACAGATAGTGCAGTACCTCAGGGCTAGAAACAGTGGGGCACCATACCATGATACCACTGAGAGAGAGAGAGAGAGAGAGAGAGAAAGAGAGAGAAATATATATATATATAGAGAGAGAGAGAGAGGGAGACCTGTGAGGAGGGGACCTCCTGACCGTAGCTGAGATTCTTCAGTTGGGAGACCCTGAAGAGAGTGAGCTGAGAGAATACACTTCAAAACACAGATCAGCAGACTAACAAGGCATTCTGAGATCATCTTCCACTCCTTCATTATTCTTGACACTTTCTCCACAAGGACTTAGACATCACGGTCCAGGTCTTTGCATCATTCCCGCTTCTGATACTAATCTGCATGACAATTGTGTTGATAAACGTCAGGAGTACACTCGGACTGACATCAAGACAAATCATAGATAATATCCATTTATACCAATCAAAGTTCAGTAATCTGAAGAACACAGAAGGAAGTCAGTAGAGTTGAGTGTACACAGCAGAGAGATCAGCAATATATATAAAATGATAAGTAGCATGCAGCCTTCCAAGTCCCTTAAAGTCCTGACCTGGAGAATGCACGATGGCCAGTAATAAGTCGAAGTGAGCATCTTATCAGGATCCTAAAGGCCCACCCTCAAACTATATATGCATAAATACATTCTGTATGTGGCTAACATGGACGATTTTCCATTTCCATTGCCTCCACCGTGGTCCAAGCTACCATGATCTCTCATATGAACTGCTCAATGGCCTCCTAACCCATTTCTCTACTTCTAATCTTTTCTCCCATAATACATTCTCCATACAGCCACAAGAATGATCCTGTTAAAGTGTAAATTAGATCATTCCACTCCACTACTTAAAACACTTCACTGGCTTCCCAGTGCAACTGCACAAAATATAAACTCCTCATAGTATACTGTATACTGAGAATCTCTTCTAAATATCCTTCTGCACGCAACAGAATTCAAGATAAATTTTATATCACATGGTCTGCGTTAAGGAACAGGTTTTACTGGAGTAAGAGAAAACTTCTATATCCACAACAGAAATGGAAGCATGGTTCCTCCTCACCCTCCTATGACTGCATAGAGGGACCTGGGCACTGTTAGGTTAGCAGTATACATCTGTATGCCAATGGAGATACCTCATCCTCTCTATTGGTCTCACTTCTTGTAACAAAAGCGTGAAAGCAATTTTGTCAGTAGGAAAATAAACAGTCTGCCTAATGCCAGAAAATCTGGATTTGGGAAGCCAGCTATTACAGGAGCTGTCTAGGAAGGCCACCTGACCAACACCTGGGGACCTTAGATGTTCTAGTTCCCAGTGTTAGAAGGAGAAAGTCATCAATTCTGTGGGAATTGAGCTTATGTGAAACACATAAGTGCTTCACAGAAGTGAAAGAAGTGAAGGAAAGATAAACAGGTTATCTTTTCCCAGATAACCTGTTGTCCAGGCAACCTAGATTGAACTCCTAGGGTTATTTTTGGATGACTTTCATCTTTGCAGTATAAATTTCCTATAAGGAGAATGTTCAAATTTCCCAGTTTGTCCGGGACAATTATGGTTAGGTGGCTGTTGCTCCGAGTAATTTGTTAATAATGCACCCTTTTGGTGTTTTACTCACTGAATACCATCTGGCCCTAAGCTCAGTCCTTGGAACACAGTAGAACCTCAATAAATACATATGGAATAAATAAATTTTCCAGAAGTTTTATTTTTGCTTTTATCTCAAGTTTTAGATTCATTTTCTAATATCGTTGGATTTCAGGAAAAATAATGGAAAATAAATGAACTAGAAATTAAATCTTATTTCTGTACTGCCACTCATTCATCTAACATTTCTTGAGCATCTACTATGTGACAGGAAGTGTACCAGGTACAGGAAATCATGGACTAGAAAGCAAGAGAGACATATCTACAAAAAAAATTACATAACGATGTGACCAATGCTTTAAGAGATAGATACAAAATATACATGTTTGCACAGAGAAGGGACCAAATTCTGCCTGGAATAGTCACAGGCTTGAAAGAGGAGATAACATTTGAGATATGTTTTTTAAAATAAATGGGAGTTCACCTGGCAGGCAAGGTAAAGAAATGGGAATTCCATGCACTACCGAAATAGATGATGATTTATCCACCAACATACCCACAGACTATCCAAGCAAGAAAATAATAAACATACATAATACTTAATTACAGGCTATGCACTGTTTTAAGGTAGCTAGAGTAAGTCACTTAATTTTCAACGCATGAGGCGAGTTCTATTATTGTCCCCATTTTTAAGGAGGAGGAAACTAAGGCTCAGAGATTCTCATAGAGCTAGTAATCAGTACAGCGAGGATTCTGACCCAGGCACTCTGGCTTCAGAATCCATTGCCTTAACTAAAGACCTCAAAGATCACCTATTGATGACACCTCAATAAATACAAGAAAAAAATGGGGCCTTGAGCAGTAATGTTATGTCAGAGACAAGATCTTAGATGCCCTCTCTTTTAGATCACACTGCATCATCTGTTCTGGTTCTTCATGATCCCTATAAACTCTCAAACCATGGGCTGCACCGCAAACCAACAGGTGTTTTATTGAGAACCCTCTGGGTCCCATTCTCTTCCTTTAACATTACTCCTCATTTATCTATATAACACATTTTATCAATTAGGGATCTGCTACTATGGTAAAATGGAAAAAATCCCAGAAGATAGTAACCTAGGTTTCTTGCATCCTTCCCATAGAAATGCTTTAAGCTAATTATGTGACATTGGGCAAGTGTCTTGATCCTTCTGATCCTCAGGTTGGAAATAAATAAAGAGGAGGTACCAGATAGTCAATATGAATGAATGCTTTAAGGACCTGGGTTCTGGAATCAGGCCTAGATTTGAATCTGAGTGTCACTGCTCATTAGCTATGTGACCTTAGGCAAGCTAATCTTCCTAAACTTAAATTTGCTCATTTGTGAAATAGGCATAATAATAGTACCTATTTCACAGAATTGTTAGTGATTAAATAAGATAGTGACTATAAAAATGTAAAATGCACAATTATACTCCAATAAAGATGTAAAAAGAAAAATGTAAAATGCAGGAGTGTTTTTTAAACGTTAGCTATTAATAGGGTCACTGCCCTACACATTACCCATACCTAGGATATTTTTATGAAAACTGCTATTCTTTTAATGTAATATTTAATACATATAAAAATACATGTAACATATAGGTAAATTATAAAGCAAACAAAATAAGTACCCATAATCCCACCACCCAACTTAAGTAAAACATCACCAGTGGTACCATGGCACACGTGTGCTTCTTCTCTGTCCTACCCCTTGTTCCGTCCCTCAGCTTCCTATGGTAACTCATCTTGAATTCTGTATTTATCATTCCTTTTTGAATAGTTCTATCATATAGGTATCTACCCATTAAAATACTGTATACTTGATTTTAACCTTTATAAAAATAACATGCTGTAACAAATATCCTCTGCAACCAGAGGAACATTCTGTTTATAAAAGCTATTCCTGTTACAGGATAACTGTAATTCATTCACCCAGCTGTATGATAATCTACTGTGTGAGCATTTATCCATTCTCTGTGGATGAACCTTGGGGTTGTTTGCAGTTTTGTACTATTAGGTACATTATTGCTATGGACACCTTTGGACCTGTTTCTTGGGCCACATGGGTAAGGGTTTCCTATAGAGTGTACCTTAAAAGGTTGAATAACTAGGTGAAATTTCAACAATATCAAAATGATTTCTCAGACAAGGCAAGTTAATCTCCCTCAAAAAGAGGTGCCAATTCACACTCCCCCCACTAGTTTCCATTGGTCGACAACATCCTCCTTCACACTTTGTTCTTTCAAATGTGTTGAAATTCGCTAGCATGGAGGTCTTGAAAGTTCATTGCAGTTTCTGGTTTTCGTTTCCTGGATTAATGAGGTTGACCACTTTTTCATATATTAATGGATTATATTTCCTTCTCTGTGAAATGCCTGTGTCTTTGACCATTTTTGCACTAAGCTGTCATTTTCTTATTTCTCCATAGGTTTTCATATATTCTAGATCATATTCTTTTTGCTTTGTAGGTCTTTATATGTTCCAGATTGTATTTCAGTTATATTATTTCAAATATCTTCTCTGCCAGTTTGTGACTTGTCATTTTGCTTTCTTTATGGTGATTTTTGGTTTAAAAAAAGGTTATTTTTAACAGTTAAATTTATCACTCTTTTCTAAATTCAAGTTATTTTAAAAAAAACAAAACTCCACACCCCCAAATTATAAAGCCATTGTCCTATATTTTCTTCCCAAAAAATTGTTTTCTAAAGAAGGGGGAAAGTTCCCCCTTAATTTTTACCTCCTATTGTTTATTTATTTAGGCCACCCCACACGACTTGCAGGATCCTAGTTCCCTGACCAGGGATCAAACCCAGGCCCCCAGCAGTGGAAACACCGAGTCCTAACCACTGGACCGCCAGGGAATTCACCTCTTCCAAAATTTTTGTTTTTCCTTTTACTCTTTAAATAACCAAGAATTGACTTTTGCATAAGGTGTAAGGTAGAGATCCAATTTCACTTTTTTCTATTGACTTATGGATGACAAATTTTCCTAGCATCATTTATTGAATAACTTATACTTTACCCAATTATCTAGAATGCCACTTTCGTCATATATACTTTCCATATATGCATGGTCTGTTTGTGGGTTCTCTATTCTACACCACTGTTCTATTTGTTTATTCCTGCATCCATAGTATACTTATCACTGTAACGTTACTCTCAAAAAAGAAAACTGTCTTGCCAACTGGCAGAGCAAGCCCCCCATCTCACTCTTCCTCTTCAGGAACATGCTGCCTGGTCTTAGATCTCTGCTCAACAATACATCTTTAGAATCAACTTGTCCAGTTGCCCCAAAACACTTCTGGGAATTTTTGATCTGTAAACATCAACTTGGGGAAGGTTGACATCTTTACCTTGTGATGCTTCCAATAAATAAAAATGGTGTACCAATGTGTTTAAGTCTTCTTTTAATGTATTTCAATAAGTTTTATGTCCTCCATAGGAACCACACACCTGGAGACATCTTTCATCTTCTGATGCTCTTGTATACGGCATCTTTTTAAAACTACATTTTCTCTGCTGTTGTTTGCGATTGACTTTGGTATACTGATCTTATTTCCAGCAACACTTAATTACTCATCCATAGATTCTTTTGTATCTTCTATGTAATCACAGCCTTGTAACTTTCTTCCTTTCCTGTCTTAAAACTTTTTCTTTCCCTTCCTAACTGTGCCCTGATACAACAGATTAGTTCCTCCAAAGAGATACCAGAGAGCTCTCATTCTCTCTCTCTGCCAACACTCACAAATAAGAGGTCATGTGAGCACACAGTGAGATGGTGGTCACCTATAAGCCAGGAACACAGGCCTCACAAGAAACCATGCTGGTACCCTGACCTTGGGGCTTCTAGCCTCCAGAATAGTGAGAAAATAAATGCCTCTTGTTTACATCTCCTAGCCTATGGTATTTTGTTATAGCAGCCCCAACTAAGACATCCAATGATGCAAATAAAAACTATGTTATACTTAGGATCCGGTTATTTTCCTGTGGGAAATCTCCTCACTCCAGATTATCTAGTCTGCTATACTGCCAGGAGAAGCATAAGGGCAGTACTTCTGTTCTTAAGTGTTCCTTTATTTAACAGGGGGCTGTTAACTAAGGGTCCTC